TTTGCCTTGTTGTTACTCTGAAATTGTTAGGACTTTAATGGCCATTTGATAAATCTTTGGTCGAGTAAAGTTGGCTTATTATGACAATAGTATTATATAATGCTTGGGTGTCTTTTTGTGACGGGGGAGTTACGAAACTCTCAAACTTCGTTGGCGGCAAACTTTTTGCACAATCACAAGTGAGGAAAATTGTTTAAGTACAATTTCTTTTTTAAAAGTGGAAAATTTTCTCCTCTTTAAATCTAGCTTTTAGCTTATATTTTTATCTTAGTCCTAAATTTATTTAATTTTTTGGACAAGATGTACCTACATCCGTTACACCCAAAATTTGTTCCCAAGTTAGAGTCACGTAAGGTTGATTGATGTTGATGTTTGTCTCATGTAATAATAATTACTGTATTAGGTTGATGTAATAGGTCATACCTACACAACCGACTTTTTTACTCTTATAATTTTTAATTAATAATTAATTATCAATTTGACTTTCATTTGAAATTAATTCGAAAATTTAACTCCTTCAGAAAACATAACACTAATCTGCCCTTGTTTGACCGTTGACCATTAAGCCTATCCAGGGGTACACCCCTCCCTACCCTGGTATTTTTTGAAATTTTTTACCTACCCGGGTAGGAAGAGATGTGCCCGAGTAGAGTTCTTGAATCAGGAAAAATGGTTGAATTAGTTACCCGGGTAGGAAGGGTTGTACTCGGGTAAACATCGAGAGTAGGGTTTTTATATAACCGAGATGCTGACAAGTTTCTTTTTCCAATTCATATTCTCCTCGGATTTATATTTCTATCAGCGTTAATGAAATCGCAAAAAATTCAAGCACCTTCTGATTACATAAAACAAAATGAAATTAGTAAAAAATTAATACAACATTACCATGTAATTGTATCCCCTAGTTTCTCTAATCTTCCTCAACTCTTCATCGTTCTCATAATCATTTGGATTCAGCTTCCAGTATAAGAGCCCCAATTCTGCAAAACTCACCATTTTTCTGCAACGTCACAACTAAGTAAAACTATAGATAGATAGAGAGAGAGAGTAATGAACTGCTAATTGGTCGATGGAAACAAATTCATTAGGGTTGCCATGGTGAGGAAGCCTTGGATCTTCGTTGCTATCGTCCATGAACCATGCCTGTCACAGTTTTTTTCATTTATATAAAAACTCTACGGTCAATGTTTACCCGGGTAGAGTTCTTGAATATGAAAAAATGGTTGAATTAGTTACCGGGTAGGGAGGGGTGTACCCGGGTAAACATTGACCGTAGAGTTTTTATATACCAGGATAGGGAGGGGTGTAGCCGGGTAGGCAGGCTTGGTGGTCAATGGTCAAACAGAGGCAGATTGTTGTTATATTTTTTGAGGGAGTTAAATTTTTGAATTAGTTTCAAATGAAGGTCAAATTGATAATTAATTATTAATTAAGGGTTATAAGGGTCAAAAAGCCCTACACAACCACATGCTAATGGACCAGACAATGCAATGGGCACAACACAAACCCAAGAGACAATCAATGAAACCCAAGCGTCTATTGGATTATGTCTCTCCGTAATGCTAATAATTTAGAATATTTTGTGTGTTTGTATAATTCTAGTTCATAACTGTTGTAAACAACTCTCCTTGTGTTTGTAATTTATGGTTTGTAACCGTTGTAATCATGGGACCAATTTTATCTCGGCTGGGTCGACTCGGAACCATGTGAATCAGTCGTCAGGCCAATTCGAGTCAAATATTGGACCAAACATATATCAGATGTGAAAATCAGTTCGAAACGGCCATGTTTCATCAAAATCAATGACCTAGTCGGATAATAAAAATCAGCAGGTTATGCATTTTTATAAAATAAAATAAAAAACCAAAGTTGTCTCGTCTTATCTTAAAAAAGTGTGGAATTCCTTTCAATTTTTTTTTATAATTTTATTTGCTAGTAGTATATTAGAGTGACCTCAAATAGATGCTTGTCTTAATAAAAAAAAAGTAGTTTACTGAATAGTAGATTAAGAGAGGTGACATATTAATTCCTTGCAAATCTTTTTTTATGGGAACGGTTGTTGGTAAATATCTAATAATTAGTAAATATGATTAGTTGAGGATACTTGGTAGAGAAATTATATTTGGTCACTTGATACTTGCATTTTCTTTTTTCTTTGTTTATTTCTTTTACAATACACTATATGTGGTTATCATATATGACTTTTTTTTATCCCTACAAAAATTATATATGTTTGCATCCCTACATAACAATTTTTAGATGTATTTGAAAAAATTTATGTATAAAATACAAGTTTTCATATACTAACCCGGGTCAAGCGGTTCAATAGGTGACCTAGTGATTGAACCAGTGACCCAATACCTCAGTCGGGTAAATGACCAAGTCGAGTATGATAACATTGCATAGGACATTAACCATACTACCATGCTTTTAAAAATTTTTACCTAAATGCCACGAGATTGAAAAACTTTGTCAAACTACCACGACTTCAAATTTGCTAGCAATTGTAATAAGTTCTGACAGCCACATGGTAGAACTAGACAAACTCGTTGTCAATGGCAACGAGTATAAAATGCCACGTGGCAAAATAAGTCAACTCATTTTCAAAAAGTCATAATTTCTGATTTGGGTGTTTGAATCGGATTTTTTTATACTAGTAAGTTTTTGAGATCTAGGCATTAGAAGGATTAATTTTTAATGTTGGAAAGTGAAAATAAGAGTAAGAATTAAACAACGTCATTCACAGAGATAAAATATGTCAAATGAGATCCAAAAAAAATTTACTATAAAATTTCTAAAATTTTTGTTATCTATCTCAAAACTATAGATACAACTATTGTTTCTAAAATTTTGTGCTAGGTATAATGGTATGTGACTTCAGGAAACATGTCATGTTATAAATTATACTCGCTACAAATGACAACGAGTTTGAAAGTGTGATAGTTTGAAAAAAATTTCCATCCTCGTGGCGCTCTAGTAATTTGTATTGAAAAACGTGACAGCACGTTTAATGTCCCTTGTAACCACTGTGGCAGATGTTATATTGCGATCAGTTAATGAAATAAGTTATGAACAGTTCAATAAGATTCTAACTCCCCTTCTCTCTTTCTTCTCTTCCTCATATTTACAGGGTTACAAATATTTGTCATGATTTCATGTAAATATGAGAGTGATATACACCCAACTTAATAAATTTGCATGAGACCTTATATTGGAAATGCAACACGCTACACATTGAAAGTGATTAGCTGATTTCTCCTAAATTTCTTACATTTTGGTGGAATATTGCAAAGTAAAGCCTAATTAATGTTTGGCGCACTAATTACGATGAGTGGGACCTGGTTGAAGAAAAAGAAAGATTCCTACTTTACAATTATATATATATATATATATATATATATATATATATATATATATATATATAGAGGTTAGGCTTTTGGCTTAAATAAATTAAGTCTATTAAATTTTCAAGAATTAAAAGAATAACTAAAATAATATTATTTATTATTCAAAATTATTAAAATAATAATTTTATTTATTTTATTTAAAATAAATAATATGATATAAGTCAGTCTGTAGGCTTATAGGTCAACCTGTAGACTAATAGGCCCGATAAATACAAAAAATCTATGGCCTGCTTTCTAAATAAATTTTTTAAAAAACCTAAGCCTATTTTATTTTACTATTTGTAATAGTCCAAATTTGACCTAATCTAAGTTAGGTCATACGTCTCTTATAGATCGGCCTAGCACATTTACGCTCCTATATACCACCCTCATGATGTGTTTGGTACAAGAGAAATTTTTTGGTGACCGGGAATCATGATTAATGGGAATTCAGTAGAAATTGAGTTTACTTGGAATCTTACGAAAGATGTGTTTGGTTCGCCAAAATATTACCGGGAATACTTGGTAAAAATTACTGATTCCATATTTGGTTTAGAACGAAATATGACTTGGAATATGAGGTTATTTTACAAAAATAACCCCAAACTATTTTTACTTTTGTAATTGATAGATTGGGTCTAGATTTTTATGTGTATTGGGGTATTTTTGTCTCAAAATTTATTGTTGTGTTTTCCCTTTACTTGGTATTCTGATTGGTATTCCGAATTACCATATTATTTTTGGTAATCTGAATAGTGACTTTTCTTTATAAATCAAATTACCGGTAATCCTTGGATATCCGAGAATCGTAATTTATTCCTTCTACCAAACGTGGTAATTACATTTACCAAAGAAGGATTACCGGTAATCCTCTCCAAAAACTTGAACCAAACACCCCCTCAAATTATATAACGTATGGCATCTAAGCTCCTCGGCATCAAGGAGAGATCTAACTTCGAATTGCAAATTTCCCATTTGGGATCTGTCCAAAAAATAAATAAAAGATAAAGCAAAACCCAGGTATTGTAAGTTGTAACGTTAATTTGAACTAAACAACGGTGTTACTTCTGTTTTTTTATGTGAAAAACAAAGAAGGAATGTGGCTTGCATTTTCAATGCAGATCCAAATATTATTATAATGGTATGTTAAAGTAGATGAGTTAAATATCACTATGCTCTACCAAAAAGTAAACCTTTCCTTCTAATTAAACACACAACTACAATGAAAGATAAATATAGAGAGATGATAGAAACATAGAGTCAGAGGCGAGATTTAGCACTTGAAAGATTTTTGAGGATCCTGAACCAAAAGCGAATTATAGTTTTAGGATAGCAGTTCTTATGAGGTATAATCAAGATTAAAATGTTCTGCCTGCCGTGTGAAGATTAACTAATAGTGGGGTGTAGTTGAAATATACACACATATATAAATATTAAGCAATGATGAGTAAATCTAATAACTCAGCTTAGGTAATTCGTAATTACAAATGAATATATTTCAAAAAGAAAAACCCGGATCCCTTCAAGATCAGATAGAAAAAGTTGTACATTTTGCAATTTAATTATACCTATAAAATCTGAACAGGGGATCTGAGAAGTAGACTTGTTCTGATGTCAGCTTTCTTCAAAAGAATCGCCATGCTGCTTGTGCCAGCAAACTAACATGGCTACACACCGCCTCATGATGTAAAATCTGGCTTTCTGTTCTTTGGCTATATTGGTGCATTTCCTTCCAATAGAGGGGTTCTTCTGTGAAAAGCTTCTAGGAAGATTGCTTTTGGATGTAGAGGAACTCTTTTGGGAAAAGCTCCTTAGGAGAGAAGAGTTTGAAGAAGAGTCTCTTGTTGAGCAACTCCTTGAGAATAATGATTTGGTTGATGTGGTTGCCTGGCTGGTCGAACCTCCTGCTTCCTTCTTTGATACCTTCCACTTTTCATCCATGAGAAACAAAGGAAATGTGATATATAGCAAGAACTACCTAACACAGTGTGTGTGTGTGTGTGAGGGGGGAAGGTGAATAGTGATAGGAGAGAAGGAAGAAAGATGGTAGTAGTGGGATTGTGCCGAGTATAAAAGGATTCATAACGAGATAATAAAAAATTCTTAATAAAATTTGATGTTATTATGAGCTAATGTAAATATTAAATATACATATCAGATTTCTATAGTCCATACTCATCATTCATTTATTTATGAATATGGGTTTTATTAGTAATTTAGACAAGGGTTTAGTATTTCTTAGGAGATAAATTTATCTCCGACATATATATAAAAGTGTATGAAGATCATGTGGGTTCATGTGAAGAGAAGAGAGGGAAAGAGAAAATATGAGTCGCACACACTTTTATGTATGTATAAGAGATGAATTTATCTTCTACCAGAGAAACAATAAACCCTTTAAACAAAGATATGCTGAGATTTGAAAGTAGAAAATATTGTGCTTTTGGTTGATATGGATGGCTTTGGGACTGATAAATGAAATCCTGTCCATTGAATAGCTACGAATAAGCTCTGATTCTTTTCTAGACATACATCTTGTACGGTTCTAAAATGGGCAATCAATTATTAAGATCGTTAACTGTAGTCTGTAGACCAATGTTAGCTGGTTCTCATGTGGAGGGTTGTGTGCCTTGTGCCCTGTACGAGCATCTTATGGATGGAGCTTCAAATCTATATGAATACTATAGACTAGTGCCCAATTCGTTATAGATGTTCTTCCTTCCGCACAAAATATGCACATGGATGGATGACTTGGCACTAATCAGCAACATATTTGATAGTCAAAAAGTGAGTTTGAATTAGAATTCATACAAATTAGTAGTTTATGAGTAGAGTAGAGTTCATGATCCATATCTTATTCGTATGAACGTGATTGTTGTTTGTCAATTGACATTGATGAAATTGGTTGAAATTCGCTCTTTTTAAAAAATATACATGATATGTTTCAAAAGAAGACAATATGTTCCTTAAATAATATTTTCCCTCTCATTATTTTCTTCCTTTTGAAACTATTTGTGAAAAAGGAGGGAGATAATTAATTGGCTAGTGGCTGATATGGTCAATGAAATCTTATGATCACCCCAATAACATAACACTACACTTTGCTTTCTGTCTATGGATTCGGTGCTAAAGTATTTTTTTTCTTCTTTTTATTTGATATAGATATAGAATAATTATGGAAACAGATGTTTTTTTATTTTAAAAATTAAAAATCAAAACACAAAACAAAAATAACTTAGACATGGATATTATGTTCTCTAAATTTGATTTAAAAAAAAAAGTTAATTTTTAAAACCTTTTTTTACAAAACATTTCTTATCAAGCGGATTTTTTTTTTTCTGAAAATTCAAAAACTACTCTAGAAGAAAAAGAAATGCATATTGATCCCGCCAATTTCGTGACAATCATAACCACTGCAAAGTATATTCTAGAATTTAATTACAAAAGTATTATTGTATTCATTAACTTATTGTAATTTGTAGGTATGGATTCACGGGCACATGGCAACTACGTAGCTAGAGCAGTAGTTATCAGATTTCAAAATTTTCAATCTGAACACGTATTGTCTGAATTTAATATTTTCAACCAGGGAGTCCTGCTAAACTTAACATGTGAAGGAATTGATTTGTTTTTTTCTTCTTTCTGCACTAATATTGTAATAGAATTCGCCGCACTCAGTACTGCGGTTACAGATTGCAGTTAAATATATCATAGTTGTTAAATCAATAGGTAAAAATAAATTGAAAAGAAGTGATATGAAATGCAGAGTAATGATTTTGAAACGAAATTTTGTTTTGAATAAAAAAAGTGGAAGAAGTAGTCCACTTTTTTTTTCATTCTTTTTTTTTTTTGGCTGGGCATATATGCAATAAAATATTCATTTCTCATTTTTCTTATTTCTTTTCTATCCCTCGATGTATCCCAAAAGTTATTAAAATTGAAAGTTAAGAGACATTTTGGTTATTCTTAATACTGATTTAGAATTATTTAAGATAAATTAGTTGTGTAAATTGAAGGTACTCTGGAACTAGTTTTAACTTAACTTTAGCTTGTTAATTTTTTTAAACCAATTCTTATCTAATTTGATTTCGAATTTATTAAAATTCAAAAAAAAATCATCATGTTTATTAATTATTTCATGAGTGACTAATTTTTAGAATTTTATCTTATTTAATAACTATACCTTTATATCTAAATGAAGGGGGGGAAATAAAAAATATGGAAACAAATTTGAACTAAAAAAAAGGACTTCAGAATGATTTTTTAAAATGAAAATTTCATCTCAGAAATAATTTTTGATAAGAACCAGTTTTAAAAATTAAGATAATAAACAAACGTCTATATTTAAAAACCGACTGTATACAACTTCCCAAATATCCCGTTACATAAGCAATAAAGTTAAAAAAGGAGTACAGATGGTCAAAAGATTACATGGATGGTCAACGTCATGTTATGTCAGGCGGTGTTTTTGGTTTCTTAATTAAAGGTGTCTCTCATTTTAAAAAATATATTAAAAAATATAAAATTGTGTCTTTAAGTGAAAGATAAAAATAGATAACCCAATGGGTGCAGCTCAGTTGGTTCCTTGACGCTGAGTTAGTGGGGTTGGACATGTGTTCGATTCCCGCTGAATGCATTCTTGGGAAGGGGGTTGAACCTTTAGCCACCACTGACCCCCGCACTCCGGATTAGTCTCATAGCCGGCTCAAAGAGTCGAAGCTTGTGGGGATACCGGAGGGAGCCAACTCGCCTCAAAGAGGTAATTAGGGTTAGGTAACTCCAAAAAAAAAAAAAAAAGATAAAAATAGATCATGGAAAAAAGAGAGCAGACAAAAAAAATATGAATCCTACTTATTTGTAAGAGTAAAATAATATAAATTATGTGATCTAAAAGAACAAATATTTTTCTCTTAATCTAATAACTTGATTTTATGACTCTCGTTACAATTTACAACATTAGCTGATATTATTTATAAATAATGGGTCAAGTTTTTAAGGTTTCTAGTTTTGGAAAAGTTATATTTATAAATTTTTTGTTTACAATTATATTATGTCTTATTCATAAGACACTTTTAAGTAAAATTTTACGGGTAAGACATAATGTAGTTTGTAAGTTTGTAAAAAAAAAATATCAATATAACCCTCCTCTTCTATTTTTCACTATCTTGTATTCCAATTTTCTTGAGGATTTTTCAACTATTGAATAACCCCATTTATAAATGGGAAAAACTACTCTTATGCAATATAAGAGTAGTTCTATCTCCTATAGATCCATCGAAAATCGTGACATTCTTTTATCTTTTTTTTTAAATAGCGGGCCCACCACATATGTGTCTACAACATGAGAGATCTTCTCTCATGCAACATGAGATTAGATAAACCCTTTATAATTAGGGCTTTATACCTCTCATTTAGCATGAGAACATAAATTTTTGCAACTTTAACTTCAATTTTTGCATTTCCCTCTTTTATTTTTTGTGCCTAATTTGTGGGGCCCACAAATTCTTTGTTTCTAAGGCAGAAGTTTGTGACTTTGCTGTTGCAAAAACTCTTTTGCCCCTATAAATAAGAGAAAAAAGTTTGTGCTTTTAAAGAACATAATCTTCTGTTCTTTTAGAGTTTAACACTGTCTTATTGTTAAGATATAGTTATAATATAAAAAGTTATTTTTTTTCTTTCTCCAATCGTGTTAAAAGAGTAATTTTTTTTTTTCATATTATAACTATGTCTTAAAATCTAAAAGGGGACAATACACTTAGCCCTATAAATAATGAGTTAAAACTCTCAAGTATTGATCTTCAAATCCTCGTTTTCTTACACACACCCACACTTTCAACTTCGTGCCTCATCACTGTTAACAATGCTTCATCACTGTTGACATTTGTATCACCCTGATCCCTTCATAAACCAATGTGAAAGTGTTACGTTATTTAAATACGATGAGTTTCACGTTGATTTGTAATGAGTTAACTAAACTGGATATAAATTAATAGATTCATGAACTTAATATTTTAAATTTTTAGATTATGACATGGCATCAAATTTACTTGATATAGTTGATCGACTAGTTTAATTCATTAATAATGATTTTTCATCAGGGGTTTCTCTTTGACCCGATGACAGAAAGTACATATCTCATATTCATTAGTGATCTTCTATCGTACATGCATACACAATCCACCGGATCAAACATTTTCCAGATTTGCTGATTGAGGTGGTTTTTTATTTTCACAATGGTTATGCTGGCCTTGTCGGCTTAGGAGAATATCAACAGTAAGGAATCCCACATGCAGACACGTGAGCTGCACAAGGAATGGTCATTTGATCAGGTGGGGAATGTGAGCATTTGGCTATAAACAAATTCCCTTTTTTCTTAAGTAACTATAATAAATGCCACTATATTCAGTAAACAACGCCACTCCGCTGCGTTCTCAACTGGTGCAGCTCAAGACAGGACTCTTTAAGAAATTTTTAGCAATACGGTAACAAAGACATGAGGGAAAGGGAGACATAAAGACCCTGTTTAAATACTGTTTTTTAAAACATTTTTAAACATTTGTTAAAAATTATAATTTTTTTAATTAAATACAAAGAACAGTCATTATTTTTATTTTGTATTTTAATTTTTAACTTTTAAAATAAAAAAATATAAAAAATACTTGTTTCCATAATTATTATACTTTTTAATTAAAAAAAAACAAAACATACGCAAAACCTTTCATTTTAGTGTGGAAGCAACTTGGTTGGGGAAAGTAACGAGGGAGTAATGATTGGGGAAATAAGAGCAGTAATTAACACAGGAATAAAAGAGAAGAAGTGGAAGGCAATAAAATAAAATAAAAGGCCTGAAACAACTAAGAGGAAATGGGAGTAAGAGGGAATCAGATCAGCACACCTCGGTTAAAATTAATTAAAAGGGATACATTATTTTATCTATTTTTATTTTTATTTATCTATTTTTACTTATTATTCTTTAATATTATTAAATTAAAATCTCAACTACATTTATCATTTATCTCTCTTATTGAGATTTTTAATCTAATGGCAATGGAAAATGATAGATAACAATAAGTAGAAAAAATAAAATAAAATAACATATCCCTACATTGAAATATAAAATTATTAATATAATCTAATTTATTAGATTAAGCTTTTAATTTGAATTGAATATTTACATAATATCTTGATTAAATGGTCACTAAAAAAAATATTTCATGACAGTTTAACATGTGACATAAAAGTGCAAGTAACAGAGTTTGTAATTCGGTATTTGTACACTGTACAGTATATATAATATATGTACATATCATGGAAATATTTTTTATGCTCCACGATCATTCAATGATTTGATACTTTCTCTTATAGAACACTAATTTTTTCTTTCCCTTTTTATCCTGCTATATTTTTTCTTTCTCAATTTTACCTTCTTAATGATCCCGACCATAATAAATTCTCTCACATATCAGCTCTTCAATGGCTCAAACATATTTTTAACTACTCATCTACTTAAAAATAAACACGGTAAAAGCATTAATTAGGTATAATCTAGTGATAAGGATTATTAAAGATTTAAACCATAGCGGGCGCGGAAAAAAAATCATCGGAATTATAATTTTCAGGAATACGATAAAAAAAATGAATTTTTCTGTAATGTTATTAAAATATTATTTGTTAGGTTAAAATATTTATGATAATGTTGGATTAATTTTCTCAATGCTATATTTAATTAAGGATTCGTTTTTTCTGCAGTTACTGCAGATAAATTATCTACAGTAAGTTAATACGACATCGTTTTAGGACGAAAACTATGGTGTTTTTATAATTTTAATTTATTTCAAGGTTATTATAGTCTTTGTAATTATAATTTTTTAATCTTTCAACCCCAAAACGACATCATTTTAGGGGTAAATGTAGATAACTTATCTCCAATAACTGTAGAAATATTTTTCTGTTTAATTAATTATAAAATATTGAATAAAATGTAGATTAAGGTTAAATATATCTCAAAAAAATTATCAAATATTTCCACCATATGAGATTCTCAAAATACCACGTATTTGGTAGTATTTTAAAATAAAAATTTTCATCATAAATATAAACCCCGGAAATCCGATTTTTCTGAAGAAAAAAAATTACAATTCCCGTATCAAATTTGGGTAAATAAAATTCTCAATTTCATTTTTCCAGAATTTTTAATTTTTTCCTTCTACCAAACACCCCTTTAATGTTACTACTATATACACCGCCCCAAAATTTTAAAAGTTTAGAGTAAAACTCCTTTTGGGTTAACCAAAAACACAGTCCCACCATCCCTTACAAAAAAGAATTAATTCCAATGTCCCTAAGAAATTTAAAGTAGACTCATTTAATTAAAATCGTGATCCTCACAAATTCAAAAAAGACTCATATTAATTTCTTAAAATGATTAAAATGGATCCACTTTAAATTTAAAAAAAATCACGAGACTAATTATTTTTTTATAAAGGACTAAAATGAAAATCATATTTTTTGATACGCATCAAAAGACACTTTACTCAAAAGTTTATGGAAAAAATAAGAGTTATGTGGTAGGAAAATAAATTCGGTCATGCTAAGATATGACAAAACAAAATTATTGAATAAAGTGTCTCATCCCATTTTTTATTATTATTTTTTGTCTTTTATTGTTGCATAATAGAAATTTCCTTTATGTAACATGACAAAATAAAGACCCAAAGTTTATATATTTCTTATATGCGATTATATATGTTGCTACTGCCTTCTTGGTTTTCGTCCTTTCTAATTGAATATGAATAAAGAGTAGGGATATTCATCAACCGATCCAAATCGATTCAAACCACGGTGACCGAAACAAAATATCGATAACCGAAAAAATGAAAACAGAAAATAAAAAAAACAAATTTTAATTGAATTGGATCGATTTTCGGATTGGTTGATGAAAATTGATCCAATCCAAACCGATCCAATATATTAATTTTCCTTTACCTACTTGGGCATTTCCTCAATCATAGCCCAAAAATTTCTAAACTCAAGACTCATTAACCCATCAACTAAACCCAAGAAAAAATCTAGTCACATCTCATCAACAAAATTTCATCAGTGTAGAGCTTCATATTTCATTGTCCAAAAAAACTATGTTATCGTTTACAGATGTTTTTGTACTTCAAAAAAAAATTACAAAGTCAATATATACAAAAGATATTATTTGCACAATAATCATGAATTTTATATTTTAGAATTTTCAAAAATTCAAAAACCGATCTCATTCAAATAAAAAAAAATTAGATTGGATAAGATAGGATTTGAAAAAAATCAAACCGAATGGATGATTAAATAGTCAAACCGAAGGGATCAAATAAGTTGCTTCTAAAATCGATTCAATCCAGACTGCAAACATCCCTAAATAAGAGACCAAATAATAAAGTAATAAACATTAAACCACATTTATTTTATGATTGTACGAAAAACAAGGGCAAAAAATAGAATTGAAAAAGCAAAGTCGTTGTTGAATTGAAAACATGCTGCATTTTATTAAAGGAAAATAGTTATCTCATGTCACGTAAGATAATTGTCTTAGAAAATAATTATCTTATGTCATATAAGATAATTGTCTTGATTGTCTTATGTTACACATTAATAAAATCGTGTTTCCATTTTTTCTTTTTCTTTTTTTTTTTTAAATTGTGGGTTCCACAATTTTAGATTAATAACTCCCTATGTGATCAACTTTTTATATATAAATTTTTTAACATGAAAATATTCAAATTATACAGCTTTATTTATTTTTCTTAATTTTTCAACCGACTAATCCAGTTCGGTATTTTTTTTAAAAAAAATTCTCAACCGACTAGTTAATTCGAGCGGTACATAATCATATAAATAACAAATTAAACTCATTTAGTTTATTAATTACCGACTGATCTAATTAACTCGAACCAGACAATTTCACAAAAAAAAAAGAAAAAAAAAAGAAAAAAAAAAGAAGAAGAAGCAAAACTCAATTGATGAATCGATTAGTCCACTAAGAACCAAAAAAAAAAAAAAACTAGTAATAAGGGTAAGTGAGAAGATCGTAAGTAGTAATGGAAATAAGTTAAAAAGATCTAGAGAAGGGGAAGGATTATGATAGGCTTCCGACATTCAAAATTTTACCAACGTACTGCAATCAGAAGAGGGAATGTAAGTAAATGACGCGTAGCCCCACGCGCGCGTTTTTTTCCTGTCTGTTAGGGTTTGCTCGAGGTTTTGGTAAAATGGAGATCGATGACGATGGTCAACATGCAGTGAAGGAGGAGGATGCGACGAAGGGTGTGAGAAGCAGGACTGCTGCTGAAGAGAATAGTGCTTCTCGGAGTGGGAAGAAATCCAAAGGAACCGAGATGGAGGGTTCGGTGATGGATGAGGTCATGAAAGAAGGAGCGAACACGGAGGCTAGTTTATCCTCTCCGATTCGATCGATTCCTGAAGTGAAGATGACGGAGACCAAAGGGGGTTCTCGTGTTAAGGTTGTGTATATAAGGACAAGCTACTCCAATTGAACGGCGATGGCGGTCAATCGGACAACGAGGAAGAGCACTGGATCGCCAAACAGAAGCGTGAGGAGGAGGAAGCGGCTCTTTTGGAGGGGCTTGGCCAGGAGGAGGTGGAGGATCCCCTCTGTCCAAGGTATGTGTTCTCCGCGGAGGAGCATCGGCAGGACTGTGAGAAGTGGCGTAAATCCTTGATCATCAAGATGCTTGGCAAAAGATTGGGAGCCAGAATCCTCATTGCAAGGCTTCAAAGGCTTTGGAACCTGGTAGGTTCCTTCGAAACTATTGATTTAGACAATGATTTTCTTCTGCTGAGGTTCCAGGAGGATGGCGATTATAGGTTCGTTTTGGAGGAAGGTCCCTGGATCGTTAATGATCATTACGTGGTCGTCCAACGCTGGAGGCCACTATTTGATCCTTATGATGACAGTGTGACGAAGATGACTGTGTGGCTGAGAATCCCTGGATTGCCTATGGAGTTGTACACAGTGAGACATTTGTGGCGCATTGGTAACATGTTTGGCCGGACCATTAAGGTGGACAGAAACTCATTAAGGAAAAATGAATTCGGGGAAGCCATAACTGATAGGGGAAAGTTTGTTAGGATCTGCGTTGAGATTGATCTGAGGAGGAGCTTCCTATCCAAGTTTTGGATAGGTAACAGGGTGTTGCATGTAGGATATGAGGGACTCCATCTGATTTGTTTTAAGTGTGGTCTATATGGCCATAGGAAAGACCAATGCCCAGAGGTCCAAGCATCGGGGGTCCAGCGGGGATCTGAGGTCAGTACTCAGGGAAGGGAGGAGATTGTCAAGGTGGCAGAGGATGTGAAGGAGGTAAAGCAGGAGGAGGCTTTCGGGAGTTGGATGGTGGTTCAGAGGCAGCCAAGGAGTAGAAAACTGAAGGCTAAACCTGTGACTCTGAAAGTGGAGTCTGGGAATGAGCAGAAGCCTCATAGTCAAGGAACTCCTGGTCCAAGTACAGTGGTTACTCCTAGAATGGAGGAAGTGAAGGACATAGGAGTGGAGCATCAGAGTATTGGTAATGAGGCTAGTCATGGTTCTGGGGATTCGGATATTAACATGTTATCAGTTAATGAGCCAGTCATTGTGACTCAAGGAGGAGGGAGTGTTGGCACTGGTCAGCAGAAGAAGCTTAATTCTCCTGAGAAGGGAACTAGAAGGAGTACTCCTAGGGAGGGTAAGGACCGTGGCAAAGTAGGAGGGAAACCATATTCGAAGAAGTCTGGAGCTGAAAACATCCCTCCTAGTCCGGGTTCAGATGGCCAGATCAAAGGGGTGAATAAAAACAGAGGGAAACCCATGGCTAGCTCGGATGGGATGAACAAGATTAGTAGTACTTCTACCAGTATTGCTAAGAGGAACCAGGGTGGGGATCCTTTGTTGAGGTTGGACCCGGGACTTTCTGGACAGATTGGGAAAGTGGGGATTCCTGTCAAGTTGGTGGGTGGGCCTAATGTCCACCAGGTATGTTGATTCTCTTTAGGGGTTTCCCCTTGTACAGTTTGTTATTTTTAGCTTTTATGTCTGTTTTAGCTTGGAACTGTAGAGGAGTGGGGAAGAGTGGGTTCCCTTCTCTGGTTAGAGATTTAAAATTCAGGTTCAAAGTCAGTATTTTGGTTTTGATGGAGGTTAAGATTGGTGGTTCTAGAGGTGAGGAGATTGCTAGGAAGTTGGGTTTCTCTAATTTCTTTAGGCAGGATCCGGTTGGTTTCTCTGGTGGGATCTGGGTTCTATGGGACAATAATGTAGTGGAGGTGGAGGTGTTAAAGACTCACCACCAGGTTGTACATACTCGGGTGAGGTACCTGGGAGTGGGGAAAGTTAGCTTCATTTCTTTTGTGTATGGGAGTCCAAGAAGATTGGAGGGGATGGCCCTTTGGCTGGAGTTTGAGGCCATTAGCTTAGAGTTTAGAGTTCCCTGGTCCCTGGCTTGTATTGGGAGATTTTAACTCCATTTTAAAGGCAGAAGAAAAAAAAAAGAGGTAGAGAGGTCTGCTGGAGGAGCATCTCTGAGATGCAGCAGTGTCTCATCAACTGCAGTGTTGATGATATGGGTTATAAGGGCCCTGAGTTTACTTGGAAACGTGAGAGACTGCATGAAAGGTTAACAGATCATAGTTTCAATGAGTTGGTTAAAAGAAGCTGGGAGGAGGATGGTAGTTGGTTGCATGCTAGGGACCAATTTGAGAAGGATGCTAAGATCTGGCACCAAAATGTGTTCAAGGAGAATATGAGGAGGAAAAACAGACTATACTCAAGGTTGAATGGTTTGGATTCTTACAAGTATGGTAGGTATGACCATAATACAGAACTGTTGCAAAAGGAGCTTTGGAGGGAACTTCAGGCCATTTTGGTGAGGGAAGAGCTAATCTGGTTCCAGAGATCAAGGAATCAGTGGTTGAAATATGGAGATAAGAATTCCAGGTTTTTTCACTCATCCACAATTGCTAGGAGGAGGCATAATAGGATTGTGACTCTGAAGAATGAACAAGGGGAGTGGATTGTTGATTCTGATATGCTGGTAAATATGGCTACTTCATTTTACCAAGGCTTGTTCAGTATTGAGGAAGAAAGGGATGGAGTGTTCCCTATCCAGAATGGCTTCCCGGTGTTAACTGATGCAGAGAAGAGAGTCCTTGCTATTAGGCCAAACAGGGAGGAAATAAGGAAGACTGTATTTAGAATGGGGAAATTCAAAGCCCCTGGCCCTGATGGTCTAAGTGCTGTGTTTTTCCAAAGCCAGTGGAATGTTGTTGGTGGGTTAGTTTGTCAGCTTGTGGAGGATATTTTTTGCTCTCCTGAGAAGGTGAGGGACATCAATGGTACATTTCTTTGTTTGATTCCCAAAAAGGACAGCCCTGAGAATATGAAAGATTTTAGACCCATTAGCTTATGCAATGTGGTTTATAAGATCATCACAAAGATCATTGCTGGAAGGTTGAAGGATTTAATGCCTCGGATTGTGTCTCCCAATCAGTGTAATTTTATAATGGGAAGACAAGGTACTGACAATATTATTATTGCCCAAGAAGTTATTCATTCTATGAGACTTAGGAAGGGTAGGAAAGGCTGGATGATGATAAAAGTGGATCTGGAGAGAAAGCCTATGACAGGCTTGATTGGAGTTTTATGGTTGAAACCTTGAAGGACATTGGGCTTCCTGATTCTCTGGTGCAACTAATTTTTAGCTGTATTTCCACAACCTCCATGAGATTGCTATGGAATGGAGTGGCCATTAAGGAAATAATTCCAGGAAGGGGCATTAGGCAAGGGGATCCTATCTCCCCTTACCTGTTCGTTCTCTGCATGGAGAAACTAGCTCAGCTAATTCAGATGGCAGTGGAGACAGAAGCCTGGAAGCCTATTGTGTTAAGGAAAAATGCTCCACCTATATCTCATCTGCTTTTTGCAGATGATATCATCTTGTGTGCTGAAGCCAGCTTGGAGCAAGCGCATGTGATAAATCAAGTGTTAAGGGTCTTTTCTGATGCTTCTGGACAGAAAATTAGTAAGGAGAAGACCAGAGTGTTCTTTTCTAAGAATGTAAGCTTGGGGAGGGCTAAGGAAATTAGTGAATCTCTTGGCATTGGGATTACCCCAGACCTGGGGAAGTATCTTGGAGTTCTTCTTTTTCATAAAAGAGTAACTAAAAACACCTTCAGAAATGTTTTGGATAGAGTACAAGGAAGATTGTCTAGGTGGAACCAATCCTCTCTAACTCTGGCTGGCCGTGCAACTTTGGCCAAATCAGTCCTTGAGTCCTTGCCAGTGTACCCCATGCAAGCTGTTGTCCTGCCTAAGGGAATCTGCAATGAAGTGGAAAAACTGACTAAGAGTTTCTTGTGGGGCTCCTCAAGAGGCCAAAGAAAAACACACTTGGTTAGTTGGAAGAAAGTGTGCACCTCTAAAAAGGAGGGGGATTTGGGTTTCAGGAATCAATCTCTGGTTAATAAGGCATTTTCCATGAAGCTTGGTTTCAACCTCATAGCCAACAAGGACAGCATGTGAGTGAAAGTTTTATGTAGTAAGTATAAGGTTGGTGAGGGTTTTAGCCCTGTACTAAAGAGAGGAATCATGGAGTCCAATGTCTGGAAAGGGATTCGAAGTGTGTGGGATCAAGTTATTGATGGCTCAAGGGTAAGTATTGGAGATGGTTTTAGCTCTTCATTCTGGTTTGATAGATGGGTACCTAGAGTTGGGAGATTGGTTGACCATGCTTTAGCTGATATTCCCGAGGAAAGCTTAAATTGGAGGGTGATTGATTGTGTCCATAGAGGTGATTAGGATTGGGGCAAATTTAATAATTTTCTTAGCAGGGAGGCTCTGGTTGCTGTTGGTAATGTTAGTCCTCCATCTCATATGGCTGGTAAGGATAAGTTGTTCTGGACCCTTTCTAGCTGTGGATCCTTCAAGGTTGGCTCTGCTTACAGATCTTTATCCTGTCAGGGCATGAATGTCTCTTCTAAAAGCTGGGACACGGTTTGGAAGTGGGAAGGACCACAAAGAGTCAAGCTCTTTCTATGGCTGCTATCTGGGAACAAGCTCCTTACCAATGCAGAGAGATACCGTAGGCATATGTTTGCTGTTGATTTATGTCCTAGATGTAACATGGCTGGGGAAGATGTTGATCATGTGTTTAGGAGCTGTCAATGGAGTCAAGAGGTGTGGAGCTACTGGATAGAAAAGAATGAGTTGCCAAACTTTCTAATGGCAGACTTGGAGTTTTGGTTAGATAATAATCTTAACAGAAAAGAAAGGAACAGGGCTTGGAGACTGAAATTTGGAGTAATTAGCTGGCTTATTTGGAAGCCTAGGAATGATCTGGTCTTTAATGGGAAGCATTTATTCCCCCACGAGATCTTTTCACAAGCCTCTTTGTTTGTGTCAAATATAAAAGTGGCTGAAAGCATCTTAACTATTGCAGGTCTGTCTGTTGACAGTCACGATAAGATCATGATCTGTTGGAGGCCACCCCCTGTTAGGTGGATCAAAATTAATACCGATGGGTCATTCTCAGGTAATGAAGGCAGCTCATCTTGTGGTAGTGTTGTTAGAGATGAGGAAGGGGGATGGATTATGGGCTTCTCTAAGAGGGTAAATCCTGTTTCTATATTGATGGCTGAATTGTGGGGTATCTTGGTTGGATTGGATTGGGCTTGGGAGCATGGATTTAAACAGGTGTTGCTGGAAAGTGATTCGATGTTGGCTTTGAATATTGTGAGTGAGGGCTGTGTATCCTCTTATCCCTGTTATTCGTTGGTGTCCAGGATCTGCTTGATGATAGCAGAGGAATGGAAGGTAGTTACAAGTCATGTATATAGAGAAGGAAATCAGGTGACTGATAGGATGGCCACTGTTGGAAGCCATGCTGATTGGAGCACACACTGGTATAGCAGCGTTCCTGTTAGTTGTGAGGAGCTGTTCCTAGAGGATAATAGAGGCACATTGATGCCTAGATACGTAGCTGTGTAATTTTTCTTTCCTTTATATACAAAAGGCAAAAAAAAAAAAAAAAAAAAAAAGGGAATGTACAATACATTCATTCGGTACAAAAATTCCTAAAAGAAGGTAAGTGGAAGTTCTTTACAGTACCACAAGCAAAAACAAATACAGATAAATACATAACATATACACACATGCACTACATGCGTATCGTGTGCCCTATTGTTTAAAAAAAAAAAAAAAAAACCATGGAGGATCAGAGATTCAGAGACATAGACTAAACGGTAAAAGCAAATATAATGGAGATGACCATATGATTAACTAATCATGAGTACAAGCTTGGGGCCTTGGAATTGGAGGCAAGACAAAGAAGTGCTTCTCAAGATCAGAGGGCTGGAAATACCCATTTTTGGGTGGGCCTTGTTTCTTCTTTCCAAATGAAAATGGCTTTTTCCTTGGTGGCGGCGGTGGCACCAACGTTGTCGGTATCCTGCACTCCCACCGCTCCGGCGTCGAACAACCACCTTTGATCTCATGTTCCATGCCAACAATTACTAGGTAGCTCAGCTAGTGAGTATGCAGCCACTGAATTAATGTAACCAGGTACCATGTATGTGGCTTCTTTTACATAAGATTTCGTGGCTATGATAGCGACAGCAAATCTTTACTTCCCTTATACGTGGCGCCATTTACTTCACCTTTGATTTGCGTGGATACGCCACGTGGCCCTCCCACTTTTAAAACTCCTTTTTATTTTGAAAAGAAAATATAAATTTTATCTTATGTACATATAAAAAAATAGATAAATCTATTAAAAAAATAAGTGAATCTCATTTATTTTTAGGATTTTATTTTTCTTATATCACATAAAATTTTTTTTATCTCTTGTTCTCATTTCAATTTTCGTATTTTTTCCTTTTTTTTAAAAAAATAAAGTGAATTATGTCATTGTTGTCAGAATAGAATAGGAGAAAAGATTTATTTTATGTGACATAAAAAAATAAAACTTTTATTTTTATGTATAGATAATTTTATATTATATGGCATAAAAACACAGACCATGTAAATAAAAATGGGGAAACCTTTTTTCTTACGCTGCTTTCAACTCTCAACCTCAACCGTTACTTACTTCCTTGGTTGATTCTACGATGCAATTTGTGACTTGGCGCTATTTTAATGGTTGGATGGATGAATTCATTTTAAAATAATACAATTATGCAAGTTGGCTGAAGTGATGAACACTTGTACTATTGTGGTGGAAAATGATTTTGTAATTTGAGATATTGTAACAACTAATTAGGATTACTATTAATATTATTATTAATCAACTTTATTGATAAATTGATTATGTTGATTCAATGATTACATTTATTTACATCTTTGTATGGTTATGATTTCTCATATTTAATATTTTATATTTATTTTTACTTTTGCATAGATAAGATTTTTCATATTTAATGTTTTCACATTAAATATGGAGAATCATAACTATACAAAGATAGAAATA